AGCAGGGGACCCCAGAGCCCCCTCCACCAAGGGAGCCGGTCCCCCTCCAGCAATGTCCCATCTGTGGCCAGCGCTGCCAGGAGCGCTCTCAGGGTGGGGCAGAGGGGCTGCATGGGACCCCAGTGCCTTCCTGCCAGGGGGACAGCGAACAGCAGGGAAGCCACCCCTCCCCGAGCTGCTGGGCCAAAGCTGGGGGGCTCCTGGGGACCTCAGGGCTGGGGGGTAGCACACAATGCTGTCAGGAGTGTGACCCCATCACCCGCAGCAGCATCCCAAGCGCAGTGGGGAGGTGACTGGCTGCAAGGAACCAGCGAAGGCAGGGGGCACATGGGCACAGGGAGTTGTTCCCAAGTGGCCAGGGACCAGCCAGGGTGGGGGAAGATGCTGGGGGGCTGGCTTTGAACTGGTAGCCAGGGCTGCCACTGCTCCGACCCAGCTGGGTGACCTTGGAAGCCGTTTGCCAGGCCTGAGTAAAGTGACAATAATCCTATTCACCTTTTAGCCTCATTTCCTAAGGCAACAAAGCACATGCATTTGCCACGTGCAGTCACAAGTGTCACTCAAACCCTGATCCCCTTTGCACAGCCCCAGGCAGGGGAAGTTTTGCTCATTACCCTTCTGACGAGCTTTGCCCAGGGGGGTGGGAGCCGGGGCAGGAGCCCCTCCGGGGTGGCAGAGGGTTTGCCAGGGGAGCTGGTGGCAGAGCTGAGCTCCCCAGCTCAGGAGGATGAGGCACCAGCGATGCCCTTTGTTTGGAGCGGGGCGGCTGGCAGCTCGCATGTCCTGGCCCGTGGGCTTGGGGCGCACCCAGCTGCACCCAGATCAGAGCAGCCATGAGAGCCCCGGGCACCCGTCGGCCACTGCTCAGCACAGCCGGGCCCTGCCCGGGCAGGTCTGCGCTGCACAGCGGGTCTCGGCAGAGCTCAGTACCTTGGGAGGAACAGGAGGGATAAACACCTTCCTGGTGCAGTGCTGGAGGGTCTTGAGGGCTCGGCGGAGCCCACCCTCCTGCCCAGGCAGAGACCGCGTTGGCCACAGCTCTGGGGCAGAGGCAGCAAATGGAAACCCCCACAGACTGGGCACAGACCAGGGCAGAGCCTCAGCAGCACACCACACAGCCGTTCCCTTGAAGTACTTTATTAAATAGTTTCGAAAAAAAAAAGAAGCAGAAAGACTCAGAACTACCCCATCCCTCCCAGCTAGTTAAAAACTACAAACAGCCCCATCCCCAGGCACGTCCTGCCCCACATCCCGGCCCTTCCCACCCCGCAGACACAGCTCCGGCATCACGGGAAGGGGCGGCAGGAGGGTCCCACCGGGGACAGCAGGGCTCCCCCTGCAGCCCTCCCTGCTCAGACACCTCAAAGGCTGTAGAAAGCTGCACAATGCTCACACGCTTTTCACCCAAAGCCACCACTCACCGGCTCCACAGCCTGCCCAAACTGTTCCTCCCACGTTGGGCCAAAGAGGAGTTAAACATGCCCAAACGATGGGCAGTCACCATCAGGTTTTGCCACCTCTCCTCATCCAGCCAGAGCCACCAGCTCCCCGGTTTCTGTGGATTTGTGAACACCCCAACATGACTTCCCCCTCCCTGCCCACCCTCCACCCAGCAAGTTTATAAAATAGGGTTTGATTTTTTTTTGCTTTTTCTACAAAGACAGTGGTGGGATTTCCTTTGCAACAGCAGAACAGTCTCCCTGCGAGGTAGAGAGTTAATTTCAGGGCTGACAGATCCTAAATTCAAACCAGTTTGTCCTAGTTGAGGTAAAATTCAGTAGTTTATGGTAAGTTTTGCGATGCCAGAGGGCCATCAAGATTCCTCATTGCCCGAGTCATCCTCATCACCGTAACAGCTGTCTGCTTCCTCCTCCATCTCATCATCCTCATAATAGTCATCATAGAAGAGGTCTGAGCCCTCATCCGGCGCCGGAGTCTTGGTCTTCACACAGTACTCTGCCAGCGTGGTGGGGACCTTCACGCCATCCCGCTCAGCGTCCACCTTTGTGCCCAAGACTTGCTTCCTGGAGGGCAAGAAGCCAGGGGTGAGGACAGAGCTTTGCACAGCACACCCACGTTGCCACGTGTGGCTCACCCCACGGGGACACCCAGTGACACAGCCCTTCTCCGCTCACACCCCAGCTCACGGGGCGCTCACCCGCACAAGAGTGGGGAAAGGGCAGGGGAGGGAGCAAACACGGCTGGACTGCGATGTGCCCCTGCTCCAAGGGCCCCCCGTGCCAGCCCAGGGCTGGCCAGTCTGCAGCTCAGGAGCTTCCGACACCGGTCCCACGGGATAGCCCTGACAGCAAGGCTGTGCTGGCACCATGTCTGCTACGAACCCAGATCCTCAGCTTGGAAGCCAAAAAGGGCGAGGGCTTACGCTGAGAGCAAAGCTGGGCACATAGCCCAGCCAAGCTTCTCCCAAAAGCCACACTCGGAGCCAGAATCCACCCCTCCTACCAGCCTGCCGATGGGACTCGACAGGGCAGGATCTGCCCTCGAGATCCTGCCATCCTCTGTGTCCTACAGGGTCGCAGCTTATCAAGTCTTCCCGAGTGCCACAGCACTGCTGGGCCCGGGCTCAGCTCAGCACACACCTGATGATGTCTGTGTACTCCCGGTCCTTCCCTTTGCTCTCCTTCCACTTGCGGTACATCACAGAGGCGTCCACGTTGGCTGGAGAAAACGTGTTGGGTTCATTCAGCAGCGAGATCACGCTCAGGAGAATGGTCCTGGCAATCGACGAACACGAGCAGGTAAGAGCCGAGGCGGGTCAGCAGCTGCCCGTGCCCCAGCGATGGCAGCAGCCTCAGTGTCACAGCGCTGCTGCGTCCCGGGGGTCAGGAGGGGAGCCTGGTGCTGCCCACCAGCGAGGGTGTATCTCAGCAAAGCTGAGCAGGTCAGGCGGGAGACAGCGGTCCACGGGCTGTCAGGCTCACGCACATTCCCACGCAAGCTCTAGCTCTTCAGCAAAGCACACAGCCCGAGTGCCTTTCAACAACCTCTGGGGATCTGCCGCAGGCTTTGGGAGTGGAACCCCCATCTGCCCGCTTTCCCACCCCTGCCCTCGGACGAGCCCCCAGCCCGCAGCTCGCTCCCTGCACAGCCCTTACCGCACGTTCTGGGTGGGGTTCCACCGCTCAGACGGCAGCTCCCCGCTCTGCGGGTCATCCACCGGCGGGTGGAGGATGGAGATGCAGACGTCGCCGGTCTGAAAGCACAAGTGAGACGGGATCCTTAGGAGCTGCTGCCCCAAGCACCCTCCAGAAGCAGCTCGGTCCTCTGTTCCAGTACTGTTTGCTCTTCACTTTGACTTAAGCCAGGTGAGACAAATCCAAGCCTGTTCTTTCAGTCCCTAGGAAGGTCCCCGCTACGCTGCCCGCAGCCTCAGGCCTGGAATAAGCACCCTGCGCTTGCCAGCACAGTGCAGACGAGGCTGCCTGACCATATGCTGCATCACCAGCGCAGCCCTCCCGGTGCCCAACTGACACAGCACAACCCCGCGCACCCCCAGGCAGCAATCCACCGCAAGCGCGCAGCCCCAGGGCCACGCACATGGCCCGCTCTGCATCCACCCTTGGCTTAAACACCATGTCCCCGCTAGCCAAGCGTGGGAGCTTTCAAGCCCAGAAAGCCTGGCTGACCTGGAACGCGCTCCAGGACTGGAGACAGGCTGTCACAAGCTCGTTAGCTGCATTTCCAGTGCCAGGCACTACACACCAAAGGCACCAAGTTTCCAATGCCGTGCTCGTGACAAAGGCTGGCATTTTCATCCAGTATAGTCACAGTAGACGGACACGTGCTCCCCTGCCCGTCCAAGACATCCCACACTGTCCCAGACGACCTACCTCGTAGATGTTGGGGTGCCACATTTTGGTTAAGAACCTAAAGGCAGGAGGAGAATAGGGGTAGTCGATGGGAAACCGGAGACGAGCCTGCAAGGAAACAATAAGGAGAAGCGAGCATCAGCTTGTGAGAAGGAAGGGAAGGAAACCACAGATCTCCTGACACCACCAGGAGAAAGGAACCTCTGCCAAGTCCAGCTGTGCTCCCACAGAGACAGAGCCTCCGCGCCTGCCAGCTCGGCAGGCAGGACACCGGCAGCGTGGCTGCCCTGCCACAAGGCGAGCGGATGGGCCTGTGAGCTGCAGCAGCTCCTTCGCCACCATCCTGCCCCGTAACCTCTTCTCCACCGGGGCCCACCCACGCTACCGCTCTGCTCTCGGGCACGGAGGGAGGCAGTGGGGGCTGGCAGTGCCGGACTGGCACACACCTCACACGCTCATGGCCCCTTCCCACACTGGCACCCACGGCACAGGGTGACGACACCGAGGGCAGGCTGCTCCTGGATGGCAAACAGCGGCGGAGCGAGGGCCTGGTGGCTGCAAGGTGGCAGTCGGGGCTGGGGGCCCCAGCGTGAGCCGCACACCTGAATAAACCAAGCGGCACTTGGAGCCAGACTGCGAGTCTGGGATCATCCCCCATCCTGCTGTCAGGGACAGGCGATGGCCGCACCACCGGAGAAAAGGCTGTTTACCCTTCAGAGCTCACAGGGGAGGAAGCATCAGGTGCTGAGTGCTCCGATTAACACACTGAATCTCCAAAAATAGCCCATCACCACTGAAAAAAGAGACCAAGTCAAAACTGGCCGCAGCGTGTAGCTCAGGTGCTAAAAATAAAAGCACATGAAGATCACACCACAGCCTCCAGCGCCAGCAGAGACAACCGGCCCACTGCTGGCTTCTCCTGCAGGGATCGCCCACAAAAAACAAGGGGTTAAGGCAGGCCAAAAAGACAGGCCTGGTGCTGGCCTCCAAGTGAGAAGGTGAAGCCTGAGGTGGTACAGAGACATACAGCAACATCCTCATCCTCCCAGACAGCAGCTGCCCCAGCCCACCGGCACCAGGCGTCCCATGAGGATGGGGACCGCTTCTCCCTGTGTCACTGCACGACCTGTGTGACTGTTTCAGTTTTCGGGTGCTTCCAGGCTCTGTAAACAAACTTCCAGATCGAGATTCAGCTGCTGCTCCCCCAAAACCCAATGGCCAGAAGCAAACGAACAAACAAAACAGTGAAGACTTAAAATGCACAACAAATCCCTGGACATTTTTGCTCCTTCAGTTTGTGTACACAATAATTTAGACGTTGGATCTGCGAAGCAACAGTGCCAACTACCCCGACTCTGCCTGGCAGCGACCTGGCGTCACTCTGTGCCGCGGAACGAGCCCGAGCCCAGCAAGGGCCCCATTCAGGAGGGGAACTGCAAACGAGGCCTCAGATGCTTCTGGAATTACAGCCTCAACAATAGGCAATGCTGCCAAACCCAGTCGTCAGCTCACAGCCGTTAAAAGATTAGCGTAGAAGGCAGAGAGACATCTGTCCGCCGCCCCACCGCCCAACCCCGACTCCATCCTGGGGTCCAAGGCCTCTGCCCTCCGACCCCCTCCCACCCTGCAAGGATCCGTCCCTGGCACAAGTTGATCTGATGGTGAGTCCAAAGAGCCCCCGACTGCGGTGGGGCTATGCCTACACACGTTGCCATCTTGCCTTCCGGGTTGGCCCTTTGTCTGACCGCTCTGTGGCACAGGCCAAGGCGAGGAAAGAAGAAAAAGCAAGGTAACGGCTGGGGCTGGACATGTTTTGTGTGTGCGTGGAGCTTCGGGCAGCCCAGAGCAGCGCACACGCACACAGCAACACGCAGCCCTGTGCTGGGCTCTGGCCAAACAGCTGAACTTCACAGAATAATCCCCTTTGTTGTACCAGAGGGGATCAGAACAAAACCAGCCAGAGGCAAAGCGATCCCGAAGGGGGCTCAGAAAGCAACCCTGCTTTGCCGTACAGAAACAGGCTGATGCTACCATGAGCTGGAAGAGGACTCGGCCCCTTCACTCTCCTCTTATGCAGAAAGCCTCATCTAGTGCCACCAAACAGCGCTGACTCTGGAAGCTCTCAAGCACAAAACAGGGGCATGAGCTGCTGAAAGGGTGAGAGTTCAAAGAGCCTCATGCTGAGGGCCAAAAGAGGCTATAGAAAAAGACTCAATTTCAGTGAAGAGATAAAACCTGACTCTGAAGCATCAGACTCGCCTGCCACCGCTCCACAGGAAAAACAAACCTCTCAGCTGACCCTCGGGCTGACTCACCCCGGGCGCATCCCCACCCTGCCAGCAACAGGATGAACACAGAAGAGCCCATAGTGGAGGAGGGAGGAAGAGAAAGAGGAAGAAAACAGCTACACAGGTTGCACAACACCTGGGAAGAGGCACATACACATCCTCCCGATAGGGACTGCGCAGTCGGGCCGCGCACGCCTTCTCCCCTGCTCAAACCCTAAACAAACCCACGACACCCGCTCCCCACCCAGCTCGAGCTGCTGCTCACTCAGCCCGAGCTGCCTGTGCCTGCACGGAGAGTCCTTTGTCTCCTTCCTCTGGTTTGGTGGCGATGCCACCAATCCCCTCCAGGAGAGAGAACACCAGCGACCCCGAGCTCGCTCTCCTGCACCCACAGAGCAGGGGATGGAGGGGGCCGGAATGAGGAAAAGCCCTCAGAGGCAGAGCCAAATCCCCCTTCCAGGGAAGGGAATCCTTGCCTGCCACCTGCATGCAGGCTCCCTTCCCCACCCCAGCTCCCCTTATCAGCCACTCCAGGGCCTCCCCAGCTCCCAAACCCCAATGCCCCCCCAGTGTCGAGCCACAGACCCGGGTCTCCCTGGCCCCCAGCACCCCCTCAAGCCCAGGAGCACCGCTGTCATGCCCCTCCCTCTCACCCCACAGACTTCCCAGAGCCTCTACACTCTCCCACGGTCTGTCTCCCTTCAAAAATCCCTTCCCAAAGCATCCTCCCCCCTGCACCTCCCCCAGCACCAGGTCCCCCTACCCACACACCACCCCCCCACCCCGTGCCACCAGAGCTTCGCCTCTCGAGACCTCGGTCCTCCTGACACCGCACGCCCCCTTCTGCTGTCGCCAGCCCCTCACCTTGAAGTACCCCCCCTCATAGTAGGTGTTTGGGGGGCCGAAGATGGCCACCTCCCAGTTGTAGAGGTCCCCCTCGTCCACCAGGTTGACCCGGAACCCTTCCACGGGCTCCTCCTGCAGCCCTTTCAGCTCCAGCAACAGCGCCTTCTGCGAGCTGGGCACGAGAGGCCGCGCCATGCCGAGCAGCCGGGGTAGGCCGTGAGCGAAGCCGGGGACTGGCGTAGGCGCGTCGACCGCTGCAGGAAGGGGGGCGGCGGGGACGGGTCCTGTTGCTCCGCGGCCGCTGAGAGCGCAGAAGCGCGGGGCACGGCGGGAGCTGTAGTCCGCCCGCGCGGGGCGGGGCCGGCGCAGGCTCCTCCTATACGGGTGCCGCTGCCCTATCAGAGCGCACTGCTGGCCGCGGAGGGGCGGGGCAGAGAGCTGCCTCC